AACTTGAAGAGAGAATATAAAGAAGAGAGTGGGAAGATATGATCTGTTAGTAGAAGTGATTTTCCTATGTAGAGATCTTGGGAGAAATGAATGCAAAGACAATATAAAACCTTCCCAAATGTCAATCTTTTTTAGAAAGAGGTAGTTTCTTTGTACTGATTTTCACTTAAAATGGCTTTGTTATCATATTTATATATAGTTTAGAATTATATCTTCTTTAGATGATTGAAAGAGTTGAGATTATTTTTTACCATAAACATTTGTATCACATACCGTATTTTCCGGCGTATAAGACGACTTTTGAAACAAAAAAAAAGCCTGCTCAGATTGGCCAGAGTCAGAGAGGCGGTCTATTAAAAAAAGAACTGGTGTTGCCTTGGAAGTTGGGGGTAGTCTTATACAGTGAATATAGGCCTAAACCTATGTTTTAACTGTAAAAATTAGGAGGTCATCTTATACGCCGAAAAATACGGTACATATTTTTAAATTGGCACTGGGAATATTGTGTAAAAAGTTATGAGTTGGACCTAAGATAAATAGGCCTTGGTTCTAACCCCTCAAAAATGTTTCTGTGCTTATCCATAATGCAGAAATGGTGTGATTTGTCAATAAGAAATGATGTTATTACATGCTTTATATTTCATTTACCAAAAATAGTTACTTGGTTTTGATTCAGTTCACCTAATCACATTTTACCATACCAGTGTAACAGTAATATATTGAAGTCTACATGAATATAGTATAGATGATTGTTCATTGCCTCTGATAGCTGTGTGTGTGTGTGTGTGTGTTTAATTTTTTTATTAATTAAGCTATTACATATGTGTCCTTATTCTCCCCCACCCCACCCCCACCGACTTATGCCCTCGCCTCCCTGTTGCCTGTGTCCATAGTTAGGTTTATATGCATGCATGCAAGTCCTTTGGTTAATCTCTCCCCTTTATCCTACTCTCCCCTACCTTTCCTCTGAAGTTTGATGGTTTGATTGGTACTTCTCTGTCTCTGGATCTGTTTTGTTCATTAGTTTATGTTGTTAATTATATTCCACAAATGAGTGAGATCATGTGATATTTATCTTTTTCTGACTGGCTTATTTCGCTTAGCATAGTGCTCTCCAGTCCCATCCATGCTATTGAAATGGTAGGAGTTCCTTCCTTTTTACAGCAGCATAGTATTCCATAGATGTACCACAGTTTTTTAATCCACTCATCTGCTGATTGGCAATTAGGCTATTTCTAAATCTTAGCTATTGTAAATTGTGCTGCTATGAACATAGAGGTATGTATATCCTTTCTGATTGTTTTTCTAGTTTCTTGTGATATAGTCCTAGAAGTGGAATCTCTGGGTCAAAGGGGAGTTCCATTTTTTGTTTTTTGAGGAAACTCCATGCTGTTCTCCACAGTGTTTGCACCAGTCTGCATTCCCATCAACAATGCAGGAGGGTTCCCTTTTCTCTGCATTCTACCCAGCACTTGTACTTTGTTGATTTGTTGATGATAGCCATTCTGACAGGTGTGAGATGGTACCTCATTGTTGTTTTGATTTGCATCTCTTGGATAATTAGTGACTTTGAGCATGTTTTCATATGTCTCTTGGCCTTCCTTCTGTATTCTTTTGAAAAGTATCTATTAGGTCCATTGCCCATTTTTTTATTAGACTGTTTATTTTCCTTTTGTTAACTTGTATGAGTTCCCTGTAAATGTTTGAGATTAAACCCTTATCAGTGATAACATTGGCAAATATGTTCACCCATGCGGTGGGCTTTCTTGTTTTGTTGATAAAGCTTTTTATTTTGATGTAATCCCATTTGTTTATTTTCCATTGTCCTAGGAGCAGTATCAGTGAAAGAAATTGCTTCAGCATATGTATGATATTTTGCTGCCTGTGGTTTCATTGTTCTTTTGCATGTGTGTGTGTGTGCGTGTGTGTGTGTGTGATTTATTTCTGCTCTGATCTTTATTATCTCCTTCCTTCTGCTCACTATGGCTTTTCTTATTGCTCTATTTTTAATGCTTTAAATTGTACAGTTAGATGATTTACTATATTTTTTCTTATATTTGAGTTAAGCCTGTAGAGCTATAAACTTCCCTCTCAGGTCTGCTTTCATTGAGTCCCATAGATTTTAGATTGTTGTATTTTTATTGTCATTAGTTTCCTGGATGTTTTTAATTTCTTCCTTGATCTCTTTGGTAATCCAACAAGATGAACCAAAAAGACCCACACCAAGACATACCATAATTATGATGACAAATGTTCAAGAAAAGAGAGAATTTTAAAGGCTGCAAGAGAGTTACAGAAAGTTACATACAAGGGATCTCCCATTAGATTGTCAAATGATTTCCCAACAGAAACACATCAGGCCAGAAAAGAATGGAAGGAAATTTACAAAATGATGCAAAGCAAGGAACTGGATCCAAGAATAATCTATCCAGTAGGGCTATCATTCAAAATTGAAGGGGAAATAAGGAGCTTCAGAAACAAAAATAGGCTATGGGAGTTTATCACTGCCAATCTAGCAATGTAAGAAATGCTAAAGAACTGGTGTACAAAGAAGAAATAGAAAAATAAGAAGGAACATAGGCACAAAATATAAAAATGGCTATAAACAAGTATCTATCAATAATAACTTTAAACATAGATGGACTAAATGCTCCAATTAAAAGACACTGAATGGCTGAATGGATAAATAAAAACATGACTCCTATATATGCTGCCTAAAAGAGACTCACACAGACTGAAACTGAAGGGATGGAAAAATATCTTTCAGGCAAATGGAAATGAAAAAAAAAAAAAAAAAAAAGCTGGGCTAGCAATACTTATATCTAACAAAATAGACCTCAAAGTGAAGGCCATAAGAAGAGATAAGGAAACAAGAGATAAGGAAGGCCAGATATTCATAATACTAAAGGGATTGATACAACAAGAAAATATAACACTGATAAACATATATGCACCCAATGCAGGAACACCCAAATACATAAAAAAAAAAACACACAAAACACACACACACACACACACACACACACACACACACAAAACACCTCCTGGAAGATATCAAGGAAGAGATCAACAATAATACAATCATACAATCATAGTAGGGGACTTGAATACACCACTGGATAAACCCTTTAGACAAAAAAATCAGCAAAGAAATAGCAATCCTAAATGATTCACTAGATCAAATGGACTTAATTGACATCTTCAGAACATTTCACCCCAAAGCCACAGAATATACATTCTTCTCAAGTGCACATGGGACATTTTCAAAAATATACTGCATATTGAGTTACAAGCAAAGTCTCCCCAAATTCAAGAAGACTGAAATCATATGGAAAGACAGAGAGAAATATCAATGTGAAAGAAACACATTGATTAGTTACCTCCTGCATACACCTGACTAGGGTTGGGCCTGGGCCTGAGAAGCCTTCTGCAACTAAGGCACATAATCTTGACTGGAATGGAACCCTGGGCCTTTAAGTCCACAGGCCAAACTGGCTAGAACAAGATAAGATTTTTTAAATTTCAAAAAATAACACGATTTGCAAAAAGAATTAAGTTATGATGAGAGACAGGAGGGGGTTGAAATTGTATCATGGTGGTTTTTGTACAACTATGCCTCACTTTACAAAATACATATTATCTTCAAAATGTGGGAAATTATTTTAAAAAATTAAGTCTTAGTTTAGATATACTAGCGAAGCACACTTTTAAGAAAAAGTTTGTGTGTGTGCTTGTGTTTGCTCAGTGCTTTGTATCTCGCCAAAAGGGCACAAAACAGCTTTAGAAAAAAAGGCCTATAGTATTCCTATGTGTATCCAAATCACAGATTCCAAATCCTAATCTATAAAGAATTTTGATATGGCTTGCGTATGAAAGTACGTGTATATTTACATTGACATGGAATGACAGACCATCTTGATTGTGAAGAAAATATCTGTTGAGAGATATTTTCACTGTCACACAGAGCGAGACAGCAAATATTCGTTGAATGAATGAATGGACAGTTTGTAAGTAATCACCCTACTTACATTTTAGATCATAAAAATGATAGTGTGGTCAGTTGTAAGCTAATTGTCTGAGACAGGTGGTGGCAAAAGCCTCATATACTAAATAGTTTCTTAGGCAATGATAATGTCCTTCCATAAATTATTTTACTATTAAGTACTAGGCCAGCGATTGAAGGAAACATCAACCAAGGTTATATATACTAAAGGAGAATTTACAGGCAAACACCTTATGTTCTATAAACCTCCTTACTTAAATCATTCTGTGATTTACAAGTAATTTGTTCATGGGGTAGATGGTTAAGTATTTGTCATGAAGAAGTATTTATCCACTCAGTAAGCACTTAGCAAATGCTTTCCTTCAGTGGTATGTTAAGTAGTGGGGAGATAGTTGTGTACACATGGTAGCCATGGTCTCTGTGCCATGGATGGTTTCTCTCATGACAGAAGCAAATAAAAAAAAGCAAGTAAACCCATAAATGAGTAAAATAAATTCATCTTATAAGTACTTTGAACAGAATAAGTGAAGAGTGGGAGTTTGGGAATTGAATGAATCTATAGTTACAGTTTTCAGGGAAAGCAATTTAGAGGAGATAACATTTAAGCTGAGATCTGTAAATTGTAAATTCAGCTTAAAAAGAGACTTTCTCAGTTGGATAAGATCTAGAATATCTCCAAAAGCAAGTCCCTGGGAGGAGAGAAAGAGAGAGACTAGAATACCTATGATGCATACAATAACCAGTAAAGTTGAAAATGCTTGCACCCAATAGTTAAGTGCCCATATACCATTGTAGAAACATTCCTATTCTGTACAGTAGTTAAGAAGCATCCATATTTTTTATATTGTTCAACCAATGTTTGGGATGTTAAAATTACTACCCAATATAAGCAAAAAAGAATTTTGATAATACCCAAACAGAGTATAAATTTATATATTAAGTTATGACTATATTTCTATTTTTTATTTGATTTCTTTATTTTATACATGTTTCCCAGGATAGTCCACTGGTCTTACAGTCTGACAGGAATGTAACAGTGAATGCAAGAAATCACATGGGGCAGTTAACTGGACAGCTGACAGTAGGTGAGTCTTTGGGGGTAAAATTGCTTCTACCATCTTACTCCATTTAAAACTTTTGTGGTTGTTGAAATTGGGAAAAGCAAAAGTATATTATTTCTCTAATATATTACTAGACATCCCATACAGACCAATGATCTTGCACATGATTTGATTTGTCATGAAGCTAGCTATGGTTTCCTCTGTCTGGTAGTTATTCCTCTTTTCAGTGTGTTATTATGGGGCTGAATTATATATATTTTTTATTATTACTCTTGAATTATAAACTGCACAGTTTTCTTACCAAGTATATCCCTAGTATGTGTTCAATTATAGTATAGGCTTGAACAAACATGTAAGATATAACATTATGTGGTCTATGTATTCTTTATTTTAGGCAAATAATTTTCCAATAAATATTATTATCAACTTATATAAATTAAAAGTGACATAATAGTTGAATGTAATAAATCTAACATTTATGAATTACTTATAAATTTGATATTGAATCATCTAAACTTTAAGGCTAGTAGGCTTTAGAAGTAATATAGATTAATGATAAAATACCTATTTGATCATATTGTCATAATTTTAATATAGAGGTTAATAATACACGAGAGGGCTGGTGCACAAAATTCGTGCATGGCTAGGGTCCCTAGGCCTGGACAGAGATCAGGGCCAATCAAGGCCTTCCTTCCCTCAGCTGCTGGCTGTTGGCCAGGGCCTTCCTTCATTCCACACCACCCCTGGTGGTCAGCACACATTATAATGGGCATCGAACTCATGGTGGATCCAACTCCCAAGGAGATAATTTGCATATTAGCCTTTTATTATAGAGGATGGCATTATTATTTGAGTCAAATTTGTAAGAGGAAAGGCAAATTAAAAGTTAGTCATAGTTATGTAAGATAATACAAATATTGAATTTATGTGTAATTGCTAAAATATTTTTTTAGAATATTACAATTTTCTGTGGGAAAATTGCCTACCAGTTATTGATTTTTTGTGTGTGTTATGTGTGTATGTATGAAACTATATTACAAATGGTAAATTACAATTTTGAGGACTGAGTTATTCTTATCTTGATAAGTACAGTATCATTTTAATGTATTGTATTTATATATTTCTAATATTTCTAATTAAACTACACAAAGTTATATCATTTTAAACATGAGATTTATAAACATGAGTTTGATTCCTTCTAGTTCCTTTGTAGGTATATGAAATACTTCTTGGTACACTATTTATTTAATGAAACCAAAAGTGGAACTTATATCTTAACATATATTTCTAAAATATGTAATTTTATTTTGATTATAATAATTAAATATTATTTTACAGATCTTTAAAGTGTAAGCATTGGTCAGTAGGTATCTATTAATTACTAATACTAACTGGTTAGTATTTTGTGATACATAGAAATATATCAATTAGGAATTGGGGTCATATGTAAATATATTCAAAATTAGATAAAAGAAATATGTCTATGGATACAGAACTGGTCCAAAAGCACCAGGCACTAGTGTAAGTGATATGCCAACTCATCTCATTATTATTACAATCTTGCAACTGCAGAAACAGGCTTAAGCTGGCATATTTTTTCATATCATAACTTTCTTATGTTGAGAACACTTTAGATAGATAAAACTTTCTTTTATGTCCTGATCTTGATTTTAAAAAGAAAAGGTCCTTGGTGGAAATGCCTAAATGTGTATTAAATATAAAAAGACATATACAGGTATCCACTGTAATACAATAGCTATATGACTATTGTTAATAGAGCCAAACAGCTGTTTAATTATAGAGAGAAATCAAATGCCATTTGCACTTGCTACATGCTTTCCTACTGGAAATATAAAGAAAGATAGTATCATGATTGTATTTTCAACCTTTGCTTCAAATTGATTTTATTATGGTATCAGTATTTGTCAATGTGGAGGGGAAAAAGAGAAGAATGAAAAGGCAGAGAAAGGGTGGATGGAGGGAGAAAGGTTATGCTTTGTTTTAAATGAAGCAAATTAATAAGCTAATGATATTAATATATATGTGGATGGAAATATACTCAATCCATTGAGGCTTAAACTAAAAACTGTTTAATATCCTGGTCATTGGAGTCTACTGTTGGTGACCTCCATCTTTTTGTTGCTTTGTCTTTTTCAATGGAACTAAAGAGGACAAAGGAATATGTAGAAAAGGGGGAGCATAGAAAGAATTAAGTGTTCATATTTGAAGTCAAACTATCGAGACTCCCAAAAATAATTTATCTTTTGGATACTCACTTATTTCATCTCTAAAACAGAGATAAGGACACCTACTAAGAAGATCATTATTATAAGAATCAAGACAATTTCAGTACCTCAAATGGTAGACAATTTTGAATCAGCTATTTTGATGATGGTGATTGTAATCCTAATATATAACCAAAACAACCAGATGGATGACTGCACATAGGCTGCATGGGACAATAATGCTAGCAGGGGTGTTAGTAAGGTACTACCAAACAGCTGAATAGCAGGCTGCATGGGGTGACCAGGCTGGCAGGGGGATTGATGAGGGACGACCAAATGACTGAACAAGCAGGCTGCATGGGGCGACCAGGCCAGGGGGTGGGGAGTAGTGTCTAGTGACCAAATGACTGAACAGCAGGCTGTGTGGTGTGACCAGACCAGAAGGGAAGGAAGTTGGGGGCAACCAGGCTATGGGGGAAGGGCAGTTGGGAGTAACCAGGCCAGTAGGAGGGCATGGTTAGGGACGACTAGGCCAGTGGGGAGCGGGTGGTGTGGGGGAGCAGTTGAGGGCAACCAGGCTAGCAGGGGGTCAGTTGGGGCAACCAAGCTGGCAGGAGGGGCAGTGAGGGGTGATCAGGCCATCAGAAGGGACAGTTAAATGTGACCAGACTGGCAGAGGGGGGCAATTAGGAGCAACCAGGCCAGTGGGGAAAGCATTTGAGGGCAACCAGGCCAGCGGGGGGTGGGGGAGGAAGTTAGGGGTGATCAGGCTGGCATGGGGGCAGTTATGGGCAATCAGGAAGCCAGGCAGGTGAGCAGTTAGGAGCCAGCGGACCCAGATAGTGAGAGGGATGTCCGACTGCCAGTTTAGGCTCGGGAATAATGGAAAAAAGGCCTGAGCAGACCTGCTGTGTTCATTCTAACCCAGACTCTTTCTGAGAATATTAAACCAGATCATTTCTAACTAAATAGATGCAAAGAAAATATTTTAAACATATGACAGCTCAGACATAGTCAAAATTAAATAAGTCAACATTTTTAGATTTGAGGTTTAAAAATCAATTGAAATATATTTTGTGTGCTTATAAAATTCTAGGCTTTGTATTAAATTTATTTTAATACTAGGATACTGCCTCCCACCTCCCAATGACTTGTAAGATTTCAGTTTTTCATAGAAGGAGATGAGTGAATTCAAGATTTCTTTGCACAATTTATTTTTCTTAGAATAAAGCTGAAAGAGAGGACTAAAATTGTTTTTAAGAAGTGATTAAAGAACATATAAAATCCTAAGAGGTCAGATTCCTTCAAAAAAAAAAAAAGAAGAAAGAAATTTCCTTAAACATGTACCAGAATCATTAACCAGGTCAAAATTTCTACTTTTTAATCAATAAATGTCTATGTTAGCAGGGTGTTCCTCTTTTATATGCAACTTAAAGTGTATGTGATTTTATATGTTATATCTTTATGTAACATATGTTTATAACATAGTAGTTTCTATATTTCAGGACATGTTCATCAAATAACATGGGTAAAATGTAAAGTATGCATTTTGTGAAACACATCACATTTTCTTAGGAAACTGCTCTAATGTAATACACAGAATAATAAATCATTTTTAGGGACGTACATGTGTAATATTATGTTGTTTTGATATAAACTCTGTTCATAAAACTGATCATTAATTCTATAGTAATTGGATTTTCTAAAAATATAATTACCTTTCCAATAATATCATGGAGATAATTATTTTTATTTCCCAATAACAGTACTTTGATGTATAATAGAAAAGACAAACTATTCTAAATAGTTTAAAAATATAAATGTTAATTTCACCAAATTAATTGCTCTTCAATACTTCTTAGCAAACTTGAGTAAGGTATTAAATTATATGTTGCTTATTCTTACATTGCATTATAAAGTATTATTTAATTTTGATAAAACAATGGCTAAAAAATAATATATATATATATATTTTTTTTTTACTTTCATATGTCTTGTTATCAGTCAATAGCAGGAAAATAAAAATAAAAGGAGAGTAAATTAAAAACTTGAACATGGAATAATATTACTGAGAAAAAGATAGTTTTGGTTTTAATTATTTTTGTTTAGTAGCATCCTTATTTTAAATTGCAGTCACAAACAATGTTGATTTAAAAACCCAGAATGATTGCTATGTGGTCCTGTGTTGAAAAAATAATAAACTTCATGCTGCCACATCTATGTCGTTATCCCAGTAAAACATTAAGACTAATTGGTATTAAATAATTAGAATGTCATTGTTCTGAAATTTTTCTTTTAAAATGTCCTGAAGTCACAATCTTATGCTTCAAATGGGAACATGTATTTCATCATATTTCTTCTTATGTAGTGCTCAATAAATTTGGGAAAATTAATTAACTTCTAGAATTGCTAGCTGTTATTGTCAGAATCATTTAATCATCATTGACATTGTCATTTTAATTTTTCAAGAATCAGGGCATATCAAATTATATAAAAACCTCAATTACAACCTACAGTTCCTCATTTTTCTTTTTTTAAAATTTTTAAAGAAATCACCAGAGTATATGTTTTAGAGAAGGAGGGAAGCAAGGGAGGGAGAGAGGGGATGTGGAGACAAAGAGAGAGAGAGGGGGAGAGTAACATTGAAGCGAGAGAATAACATGGAGTGGCTGCTTTCCATATGCACCCAACAGGCCACCTTTGCAGACAATGCTCCAACCTACTGAGCCACACCAGCCAGGGCTTTTATGTTTTCAATTTTGTTTGTTTGTTTTTTGTCTGTCTTTAATCTCTATTTCT